GCCTGGGAGGGGGAGGGGTGTGTGAAAATTATGGATGTGGAACTATATTCTAATGAAAACTTAATGGTCATTTTTATTATTTAATCCACCTAGAGTTGAAAAATTTGCCATCATGGGGGAAGGGGGTTGCGGGGGATGCCAGCCATGGCCATGTCAGCCATGGCCATGTCAAAACCAGAATTTTTTGGAAATGCAAAGTAGTGTGTATTGAATTTAAAATTAATATAATACAAAGATTTACATTACCAAATGAATGAGAGATTAGGGTGGAGAATTGGTATAAAAATGGTAGAAAGAGGAGTTCGCTGTGAAAGTGAGTCGAATGGCTGAACGGTTAGTGCAGGGGCGCCGCAACCTATAACCTCAATATGGCTCTGGTGGTGGAGCAAGCCTTCTCGGGTAAGAGATATAAACGGCAGGCCCAGTGTACATAATTGGCTCTATGAAGAACCCATTACATCTTTTGAGATGAGTAGGTAGTCTCCCCGGTATTGGCCATCTCACAGCCCCTGTCACTTCAGGCTGAAGCCTTCAAGCTAGCTCTCAATCCAAGAATAAGAAAAGCAGGTTACAATATAATAATAATCTAATCAATAAAATTATATTGTAAAAATTATGCGAGAAGGAGAGGGAGTTTTGTGTGAAATGCAGGTTTGTTATTAAAGAGAATTGACAAAGCCATTAAAACCACTCTAACTACAGGTCAAGTTCACTGCTTTCATGCTATCATTTTTGTGGTTTTTTTCAGACAAAGTTTCATTCATTGATTATGAATATGCTTCCCACAACTACCAGGCCTATGAAATTGCTGACCATTTCTGTGAATATGCAGGCAAGATTTACTGTTTGATTTTTAAGTTCACAATAACATTGACATGTGGTAGTGGTGGTGGCAGCAGAGATTCCAGGGGAGGGGAACAGGACTTGGCCGAGGACACAGGACGCCCCTTCAGGGAAGGAGCCAATCATTTTTTTTAAAAACCCTGCTTATGAAAATATTTTTTTACAGTCTTAAAGTGCCATCCAGGCATCTAGAGGGGCTTACCATGTATTCTTAAAATTTACTCACCAAAGCCCCAACTGTGGTGAAGTACAGGTAGGTGTGCCCTACCCCCTGGCTCTCAAGGGACCACATAGGGCCTCAAGTGGGGGTCAAGTGGGACACAGATTATGATTTAGGATGGTAAAAATTGTGCTTTTAGAAAAAAAAAATTAGCAACTTCCCGGGTTGTCCTACAACATATGCTTTTCCAATGGGTAAATACTCAAACCCCCTCTCTCCCCCACCCCTGCCACTGCATGTGTAACATAATGTAAGTCCTGGTCCATACACGCTACAGTATAACATCATTTCTATTCTTAGGTAGCAACCATAATAATCATAATAGATACAAGATGTTGTGTACAGTATCAACTTTTAAAAAAATATTATCTCATATTTTTAGGTATTGATGTAGTTGATTACGGTCTTTACCCGGACAAGGAATTTCAGCTGAGATGGTTGCGAGAATATCTGACATGTTGGAACAAAGCAAAGACTGTGAATGAACCAGTCACAGATGAACAGATAGAATATTTTTATGCAACGGTCAATAAATTTGCATTGGTATGTTGTGATGAGTTTAGTTCAATGAAACAATACTTTTTTTTATAATAAAAGTGTATTTATACAAATTGAAAATAATTAATTATAATAATAATAGTATATAATTTGGCATTTGCAATAAACAATATAAGGATAGTAAGACCTGAGAATGGACATTTTATTTTTTACAGCTTACTAAATGACATAAATTGTTTCTCTGCTTATATTTGAATGCATTATTCTATTTATATTTGTATTGGACATTTGTAATAAAATATTAACTTTTGTTAATTTCTGTTCTTTAGGCTTCTCATATGTTTTGGGGAATATGGGGAATCATTCAATCCTACAATTCAGTGATCGACTTTGATTTTCTAGAGTGAGTATCAATGAATTAATACATAATATTTTGAGGCAGGCCCTCCAAAAAGTCATGTAATGTGAGGAATAGATGTTGAGAGACATGGGACAATTTTGTGATTCATAACCTTATCAATGGTGGACCAGGAATTGAAGATAGAGGAAGACCAGTGAAGGACCTTCACAGATAGGGGGAGGGGTCAATAAGAAAATTTATGATTATGACACTCTTAAATTTAAAATAATTTTCCTTTTTTTTTTTTGCCATTTTTTTTTTTTTTTTTTTTTTTTTTGATATGCAGGCAAACCCTGGTATAGTGACTTGTCTTGACAATCGAATGCACAAATTTGATGATGGCGACTACATCACATTTAAAGAAGTCAACGGTATGGACAAACTGAATGGCGAAATTCATCAAATCAAAGGTAAAAATTTGAAAACTACTGATATCTTGAGAGGAAAAAAACTTTGTTATTACTGTACATAAAAGCCTAGACTGGGTATAAATCATTTGTTAATGGAGAGGTGAAGGGTCAACAGTGTATGTAATCTTTCATGAAAAAAAATAATAAATACAGAAAATTGGTTTACTCAGCAAGATTAAAAAGTTGAAAAGAATTTACATAAAAACATTACTCGTTCAATGCCGATAAAAATGCAGTCTTAAAAATTAACATCAAACACTAAAAGGAGAATAAAACATGAAGATACTTTAAAAAAAGAGCAATATTTTAAAGATTTGTTAAAACTATTAAAAATTAAAGAATTAAAAATTATAGCCTAGTTGCACTTGAATTAAAAATATGGATACTATTTGGCACAATTAATTTCAATATCTACAAAGTGATGTTCTTGGCGGCACAGAGGGTGTGTAGGATCTTTTATAATCTTATGCAATTTAACGGCCACAGATTTTTCATATATTGAGGACATTGGTGTAGTATTAGTATTATAATTTAAGTTTTGGCCTAATTTATAAATGGTCAATATACAGTATTTGCTTGTTTAAATTGTGAGTGAACATTCAAGGATTCTGTAAGAAAACAATAGACTATCATGTATTTTATTCACAGATTCCTGTAAAATATATAATAGACTAAATTGTCTTGACGAATGGCTGACCTGTAGTGTATTAATGTATATGAACTAGCACTTATATTTAAGTTGTCACCAAGGATTTTATAATGACAAGATAGCACTCTTTGCGAATTTACATGCAACAAATAGAAGCGTCGATGTTCAGTAAAAGGAAGCATAAAGAGTAACTTTTTTGAGAAAGGGAGTCCTAGTTGATACCATGTTTGTTACAGAATTTGCACTGAGAAATTGCGATATAGGCTATCGTTAGTTGCAAGAGGGCACCTTGCACTGCATTGTTGCAAAGAAGGTTGTGGTAAGATCTTTGGTTGTCACTAATTTGTCAGTTTTGCTAATTGGTTTTTAATTGAAATTGTGAATCATGTCTGAAATATCCAGCAATAATGAACAAATTAATTATTTATACTGTAACAGGGCGTAACAGAATCATAATGTAAAAATCTGTTAATCTAAATCTGTTAATTTAAATACTGAACCTTGTACTGGAATCATGTGGAAATTTTGATCTCAGGTCATGCATTTGTATGTATATAAAGTCATCTTTTTAATATGGTTAAATTTGATTAAAGCTCATATCAGCTGCAAAATATTTCTTGTCCTTTAAATTAATTTGTTTCCCAGTAGAAAGAAGTCGCCCCATCAAAAACATAAAAATGTGTTTTTTTAAACATTTAATTTTTAAACAATCATGGTAAAAATTTTGGGGCTTTGTATGTATGACTGAAGATTATTATCATGTGGTTGAATGGTAAGAGTGCCACAACTGATAGCCGTATCAATGGCTGTGGTTCAAGTCCCTTGCTCATGATTTTGGTTTTGTAATAGATATATTATGACAACCAATGTATAGAACACAGTATTTGGAGCTTGCCATGCCAAAAACAGCATCAGTCACTGAAACAATAAAATTCAATTTATAATTCATATTCTCCACATTATAAGCTTAAAAGTGAAAGGTCATTTACTTACTGTTATAGTATAGCATACTACTTTACTAGTATACGACTTACTATTGGCAAAGTTGAGTAAAAGGATTACAGCTTCTATGTACTACTGAAGTATACAATACTGCCCAGTGGCATAACGCTGGGGCGGGGGGGAGCTATGGCTTCCTGAGATTGGGGACCCTGTTTGAGTTCTGCCGGTAGTCAATTACATTGTAGAGTTTTAGATGCGCTCGATGTTAATGTTGAACAATGAAATAAATCATATGATATCAGTGGCGTTTCCAGGAATTTGAAATAAATGGGGCTTGGGTTAGAGACTTTCGCAGATGGAGGGTCTATACCACAGTTGGGGATGAGGTAAGAAAATGTATGATTATGGCAACCTCTAGATGGCCGGAAATGGCACTTAAAATCTGAATATAATTTTCTTTTATTTTAAAAAATTGGGGACCCAAGGCCGTCTGGTCCCTCTTTAATCCACCATTAGATATAATATATGTTCTACAGTTGATGTCAGAGACCATTATGCTGTTGTTTAACAACAAAGCCCTTTTGGGTCAGGGTGGTAGACCGAGGACTGTAGGGTTCAGGGCCCTGCTGGCCGCTGTATGAGAGTGCATAGGCACATTCTTATGCTAATTACTCAGTTTAAAATTTAGTGACAGTATGCCGGTTTTGGGATGGCATGACTCATTTATGCTACGATTAAAGTGAGTGGTGTCTTTTTCTAATCCTATTATTATTTTTATAACAAATTACTTTTATAACACTGACAAAACAGAATTATACAATGAGACATCAAAAATGGCAGGCTGAACAGTTGTAGCGTATTCAGGAATTCAAAAAAGAGTGAGGGAATTTCATAGATGGAGAATCTAGATCAGCTCTGCCCCAACCATGGTAGAAAATTTATGATTATGGCACCTCTAAATGACGGGAAATGGCAATCTTACACCTAAATGTGATTGAAATTTTCCCTTTTTTCCAATTTCTTTATAATTTTGAAAAAATGTGGGCGCACCCTCCCACCCCTGAATCTGCCACTGCTGAAAACCAAAGGACCAGGATAACAATCTGGCTTGTGTGCATTGAATAGGGGTTACCCTGGTGCTCTGATTCACTTCAGCCCATATCATTGTGGAAGGATGAGGCTACTAAGCACAACAACACAATAAGATTTCCATTTAATGTACTGTACAGTACTACTGAATTACCTCTTTAAGAATAGATTTAAGAGTTAGATTTGGGCATTTACTGTATCTTCAGGTTTAAAGCTTCTACCTCACATACAAGCGATCACTGATTGGTTTAAAGATAGAGAATAAATACCTCAGGACAAATTCTTGTCTGTGTGATTTATTTTCATGAAGTGTACTGAATAATAACTGGTTTAACTATTTAGGCTATGTTCTCACACGGCTGCTAACGGCTAGCACGATCCGAATCCTGCTAACCGTTAGCTGCCGTGCGTCCATACGAGAAAATCCCGATCCGGATACCAAAAATATGATGATCGAATCACTGGCCAATAAGAAACTGGAAATTGTAAACGCGTATGTGTGATAGGTTGATGATAAAAACCCGCTCAATTTGCTAACCGATAGCGGTTGCTAACCATTAGCTGTATCCGGATACTGCTAATGGTTAGCGCTAACCGATCAGGCGTTCTCACGCAGGTGCCAACGGTTAGCTCCCGATCCAGATACTAGGGCTCCCGTGAGAACCAAGCTATGATATCTGTGTATGTTGACCCCCAAAAAGTTATACAGTAGAGCCGTTCCTTTATAGAACAATCCCTATTAAGGGGACTCTATTTCTTGGTCCAAAAGTTTTTAAGGGTGGGCTTCCAACTCTAAAATATGAGGAAAATCTGAAAATATATGTTGTTGGTGGCACTATAACAACATTATTTTCCGGCATACGATGGACAAAGGCTAACAGTTAAATAGAGCCTAAAGTAGGCTGGGCTTATATTCGAACATGGTCTTATATTCAGTAAAGTATGGTACAGTACTAAAATTCAGATTGTTTGCATATACCATGGCCTAAGAAACCGGTGCCAGGGCTCCAGACTTTTTGGCAGAAATATATGTCTAAGCAGATTTTTGTATAATCGGCTCCCTCGCAATTCATATTCCCATTCATCATACTAGTGTCCCCCACCCACTTTCGAAAACGTTCTGTCAGCCCTGTATACTATAGCCAAATGCATACTGTACTAGTTGTGCTACTTTATTACACCTACAGTAACAACAATGGTTTCATAATTTTGCTTTTTACCTTTATGTAATTTATGCATAAAGCATGCAACCCTATTCTTTATTTACAAATTTGTCCATTATTTTTGGCAAAAATCATTTTTAAACATCCTCATAACTTGATAGCCTTCCTTAATTTAGCCGACCTTGACCTTGGGTTCACCTCGACCTCTTCTTCTGACGGCATTATTAATTTATCCTCAAATAACCATACCTTTTCCGAGTCTTCTTGATGACTTTCCCAGCCTTTCTCAAAAGATGCTTGCTTCTTTTGATGGATGCTTCTACCAGGCTCCATCACGTCTCTTCCTTGCATGGTTCGTTTTACGATTCTGTCCTCTAATGAGTGAAAAGTTAAGACCGCTAGTTTGCCACCCGGTTTCAGAAACTTTGATGCTAAATTCAAACCAATATTCAACTCTTCCAATTCATTATTCACAAATATTCTAAGTGCCTGGAATGTTCTGGTTGCCACATGCATTTTTCGACCAATCATATCCTTAGATTCATTTGACTGTCTGTGTGTGAATGCAAACGATACAATGTTGCATAATTCTGACGTTGTTTGAATTGGATGGTATTTTTCGCGGAATTCAACAATTAGCCTTGCAATTTTTTTTGCCTGTTTATCCTCTCCATACGTCTTTATTATTCTTGCAAGAGTTTCCACATTCAGTGAATTTACAACTTCAGCAGCTGTGGGTTGGTTTGGATTTCTTAGAAAAAAAAAGAAATAAATTTTAAAACATTACATACTTTTCAGAATACTAGAAGACAAGAATTCAAGAAAGCAATAGTGAGATAGTGAGTTTTTTAACGTGAGATGTTGATAAGATCTAGAACATTTCAATCACATAAATTAATAAACTTGTACCAAGAGGCCGACTAGAGCCTCGGTCAAGGTCCTGGAATAGTTCATGGGGTGAGTGTTTATGCCTTGTGCTTTCATTTTAGACCACAATACTGTATTAGGGATTGGCAATCAAATTATTGTTATTTGGATAGGCAAATTATTATTTTTGATCCGACGACCTTGTGGTAGCGTCAGACAACGGGGGGTCCAGGACTGTCTAATGGATGGAAAATTCCCCCTACCCCTGCTGATGCTACCACTGATGAAATCTTTTAAATTTTCTTTAAATGTTCATGAATATTTATTCTAGGATTACCTATCACCATCCATTCTCATGTCGAGTGGTCCGGACTGACTCAAGGCAAACCCTCTTTCTGGTGTATCAAACTGCATAGACGAACATCCTGCATCAATCACTATACCATCTAGAGTGCCTGGACGGAGACCAACTTTCTTAGCAACATTCTCTAACTCACTGAACCTGCCTAGCATTGGGTGTAGACGCCCTCTGTGAGGTAACAATATATTGTAAGCTTTGTTAATAATCACTCTTTAGAAATGCTGTATAACCTCTATCATTAAAATACAATACCTATACAAAATAGTGAAGGCCAGGCTGGGGAAAATAAATTCTGCAAAACAAACTTAATATTAAATGATTTAATGATTTAATTTCATATGAACGACAAAACCTGTCTTGAAAGGATCATCCCACCAAAGTCCAAATCCAGTGCTCATTTCATTTATTTAATTTTTTTTCCTATTTTTATTTTAAGATCAAATTACAGATTTAAACGTTTACAAGACAGACCCCAGGGACTTACTATGTGTTCAAATGACTCAGAAAATGACATCTATAGAGGCCTATGTATGATATGCACTATATAATACAGTACTATTTACCTATATTTAGTTAAACTTGAAGCTATATTGTAGGCCACTGGATCTCGATCAAGACCAAACACCTGAATAGATGATGAACAGTTCAAAATGGCTTTTGAATGGCCACCCCCTCCAAATGTCATGTCCAGGAACACCTACAAAACATAAAAAAAGGATGTTTAAAATCAGTTTAAAAAAAAAAAACTGATTACGGGAGCATGTGCCTATGCCCTATACTGCATTACTGTATTATGTTTACTAATAAAGTATCCACATGGGATTCAGCTATCAGGAAATATGTGGTGTTGTAATTTTTTATGGCTTTTGTACAGTAATAAGATGGCACATGACCCATCATGCACCTCCACCCGATTTACCTTTTCCGCCATCTTTAACTGCCAGATCATAACATAGTGTCTTTTCCCCAGAGGGGGCATAGGCACAAAACTGCAACATCTGTAAAATACGGAGAAAAAAAACTGGGGAGGGGGGTCTGACGTGAAGGTGGAGTGCTTGATTATTAAGTGAGGGGGTGCTAGGTCGCAAAATAAGGTGTTTTTTAACTACCTGAACATGATTTTTTTTTCTTCTTGCATTTGGGGAGGGGGTGTGCCGGGCGGCCCCCCCCCCCCCCCCCGGGCCAAGGTAAAATTCTTTCTAGGGTCCAGGGCTACTCTACTAGCTAGAGGCCTAGAATAGAATAGACAGGTGTTGCAACCTTTACAGTACAACGGGCAGGTCGAACCAGTTCAGGCTAGGCCTACATTTATCATCACAGCACAGCCGTACTGGACTGCTGCTAACCGGCGGTAACCCAACCCAGGCGGTCTGGCCTAGCTAGGCTACCCTAGGCCTAGACCTAGTAGGAATATATGAAAGCGTAGCTCTAGTTCATGGTGAGATATCGGGTTTATTTCGACTACAAAATTTAAAGTGATAAATTAACTGCTTAGTATAATATTTTAATGGTGTTTGCCACTTTGATAAAATAAAATTAAGTAAAACATAGAAACCTTTCTTACACTCTTCACACAATACGTACACATGTGTTTACGGAAATTGCGCCCCCAACATACAATGTTACCTTTCCTAAATAACCGACCAATAAGTGACTTTGTTTTGTTGAAAGCTAGCCAATCAAATTTCGTTGAAGAAGCACCGATTTAAACCCCAATACGATGCATGCAGACTGTTCATACCAGTTGGATATTTATGATTCGGTTTTGTACATGAAAATACGCCTTTTTCGGATATATAATATTAATAAAGCACAACTTCGAGGTAAGGTAGTTGGTATAGTTTCTCTAATTTGAATTTAGTCGTTTATTATTTGTACTAGCTAGGGGCATATGTAGGCCTAGACTAATCTAGGGCCTAGCCCTACCCTATTCTTTTAACAGCGAGACTGTAGAGTAATGTGAAAGGGTTATAAGCCAGCACAACCAACCAACACCTAGGCCTAGGCTAGGCTAATCCTAATAATACTTGAGAATCAATTATAACTAAAGCCTAAAAGTGCCTAGACCTACTATATTGTTCAGTACAAGACTATTTTCTGTTTATTCAGACAATAAAATTATCTTGTATCATATTGATAATAATTTGTGTACATTGTGTTTCATAAAGCAATTGTGCTTTTTTTATGAGGGATTCTGAAGTTTGGTAATTATTTTTGTCTTAAGTTTGAATAGCCTACAGAAAAAGTTGTTTGTAATTCTAACAGAGTAATTACAATTCACATGTACAACATACAGTATTGCAAAATCATTACAGGAAACGCTTCGTGTGGAAAAGTATTTTCTTTGACCTATTTACAAGGGAAACTTACAGGCCTAAAATTATGAGATGTTACAATACAAGATACTGATCTTGCTTTTCAGTCAGTATTTACATCAAATCAGTATGAATTTAACAGCTTGACCAACACTACTTAAATGTGTAGATAGAATATTAGTATACTGTAGATAAGAAGATGTTTAGTCAGAGAAGAAATGTTTAAAAAATGTAGGTATCTATATTTGTTTTGCCTCTATTCTAGTGTCTAACATCATAATTATGTCTCCTGTGGCACAATTCCTATGTCTCAGCTGAGAGCTGAATTACTAGCTCTCAAGTGGGAAATTAGCCTACTGTAACATAGGCTTTATTAAACAATTATTATACCACTGTACTGTATGGTATATTTTCAAAATAACTTGGAGTTACCAATTAGCAGTAATAGGCATAATTACACTAGGTAGTGTATGTATGTGATTAATCAGGGCTCAGTGTTGTAATTCATTTGTAGGCTAGGCCTAGCCTAGAGTCCTACTTTAGAGATAATGTTCAGGCTAAATTTACTAATTACCATACAAAAAAATGACCATTTCTTGTACATAAAGGTCCACATTGAAGGCTAGTACTTAGAGGCATACAGTACCTAAGATTTACTGTTAAAGACATCTGATTAAAGGATCTAATATGTTCTGTATGTTACAGTAATTCACTGTAAATGAGCAATACCAAATGTAGTAAATTATATTTTTATACTTTTTCTCACAGAATCAGATTAATAACACTATGACTTCCAAGCGAAGTAACATAGTGATCTCTGGACCAGCATCTAATGAGAAGCAAACCAACGTGAGAGTGGTAATACGTGTCCGGCCAGAAAACCGACACGAAGCTGAGTCAGGATCACGCAATATCATAGAGGTTCTTGATGATCACGTTTTAGTTTTTGATCCAAAAGAGCAGACATCGCCGCAGTACTACCACGGAAGAAAAGTTCGCAGAAGGAATATACTAGTGCGAAAAAATAAGGATTTACGTTTTGCATTTGATCGTGTTTTTGATGGGAGTGCTTCACAGCAAAATGTGTATGAAAGCACAACTAAACCTGTCATTGATGGACTGATGAATGGCTACAACTGTTCTGGTAAGTTGAACACATTTCATTCTCTAAAAGTACTTGTTATGAATTGGTTCAGGTGGTACTGTAGTTGTGATACAAAGCCAAAGTTATCATAAAAAACTGAAATGATGGCTTGGCATTACTAAATTCGTTGAAAAGAAGGATTTTTTAAATTTATATATTTGTTTTTTATACTAATTTGTCTACTGTACCTATTACATTATCCAGCGGCGACTACTCTAAAAAAGTATGCATGAATTACTGATCCACCCATTGTGACTTAAGGAACATAAGTTGCTTCCTTAGGATGGAGTTTTTTGTGTAAAATATTTGTATTTAAAAGTAAGTTTGATTTTTAACTTGTTTTTGTGTCCTCCATTACAGTGTTTGCATATGGTGCCACAGGTGCTGGTAAAACCTTCACAATGTTGGGTGATCCAAACTCACCAGGCGTCATCTTCTTAACAATGATGGAGCTATACCACCGCATTGAACAGGTGCAGAGTGAAAAACTTTGCGACATTGCCATCTCATATTTAGAAGTAAGCTCATAATTATTTAAATAGGGTTTTTTTTTTAAATGTCATTATGAATCCAGATTAATGACAAACACTAGGCCTATTTTTGTTGTGTACAGGAATGTAGTTATGGTGGGCAGAGGTGGGCATGGCCATCAGCATTGTAGTTTTCCACTTTTCCACAGTCTAAGTCTAAAGCTAATTTTAAAGCCTTCCACGATCATTTATTAACCCCCTTGTCCATATTTAAAATCCACTTGTTTATTATTTAAAGTTACCAATATTGTCACCCACCGACCCTTAAAATGTATATGTTAATTTTATTATATTTTTCTTATTTCATTTTACCGTTCAGTCCCTCTATAATACTGTATGATTAATCTAGAATAAGCCTATATTAAGTTAAAGCATTTTACCAATCCATTAATGTATTTCTGGAGCACACTTTGAAAGAGTATTCTTTGATAAACATTTTCAGATTTATAATGAGACAATCAGAGACCTACTGGTACCATCAGGAGCGCTGGCTGTACGAGAAGACCCACAGAAAGGAGTGTGTGTCACTGGACTATCTGTACACAAGGTATCATCAATATTATTACAGTACAAATCTTCATCATAACATATGTGATTTACTACTGTAATGCACAATTACAAATAATAAATCAGATACTGTACTGAAATTGTTATTCCCATTAACCCTGCAGCAGCCAACAAATTAGTGTGAAATATGTAGTTTCCAGAGGCGTAGTTTCTTCCGCCCCCTCACCCTGGACAGGACCTTGGTAGCCACAGATTGTGATCCATCACTAAACTGACAGTACTCTGACTGCTCTAGCTTATTGGATACAAGTAATTAATGTAGAGGCCTTATATTTTTTGCAGCCCTTAATTTTTGTGATTATCTAGTTAAGGGCACACAAAATATTATAATTTCACAGTGTAGTCAGGGAATTAAGTTAGCCATTTGTCTTTCTCTTTTGCAGCCCCAGACTGCAGAGGAACTAATAAGTATGCTAGAATTTGGTAACAAGAATCGAACCCAGCACCCTACAGATGCTAATGCAGAATCCTCGAGATCCCATGCTGTCTTTCAGGTAACTTATTTTTCCCCATCCTCGTTTCATTGTCCTCCCATCATCAACTTTTTAATATTATCATCTATCTTTGATTAATTGTGCAGCTATTTTAGGCCGATTGATTTGAATATTTATATAATATGATAACTCTCATTAGTGTGACATCCACAGCTCCTAATTGTCAAAGAAGTCATTAGTCATTTTAAACGTGAGGTTGTGAGTTCAAGACTGACATTCAGTTTGCTTGTGTCTTTGGACAAGATCATTTTTCCATGTTGCCTCTCATTACTCAGGAATACCTGGTAAAATGTGAATGATCTGGATAGATATTCATAGCGCTAATAAATGCGACTTTCTGCTAAGCCCTGCCACTTGGATATGGCTGCTATGGTCCCACAGAATAATAGCGTGCGTTTGTGGGAACATGTGTTTGTAGAACACGCACATATTCCTGGCCCAGTTCTGATTGATCAGTTGTTAAGTTTGGTTGACATTTCGGAAAGGTCCATTCGATTCAATTGTTCAAGTGATTTAGCACAGCACAGACAGCAAATAACCATCTTCAATTCCAATTTATTCTATAGGTGTTTGTGAGGCAGAAAAACAGAACAGCAAACTTGAACACTGACGTAAAGATCGGCAAGATGTCACTGATTGATCTGGCAGGCTCGGAACGAGCAATTGTTACGAGGAATCGCGGTGCCAGGTTTCAAGAGGGGGCTAACATCAACAAATCCTTGCTTGCTTTAGGAAGCTGTATTAATGCACTTGCAAACAATAAGGTAAGAAGGGAGAATTTTTATAGAATGCATTAGTTACTGTTCTGGTGGAGAAGGTGGAGCAAAGTTAGTAGTGAAATAATTGAGGTAAATGAATATGGAAGATTTATGCTATTTTTATCTTGCTGGATGTATTTGTGAACTTTTTTCTAAGTGATAAATTTATGATAAAGTATAGAAATCAATCACTTGTCAACTGAAATGTATGCAATGAACTAATGGAAGGATTTTTTTTTGTTGTGATTATTAGAAAGATCAGTTTGTGCCATACAGGAACAGTAAGCTCACCAGATTGTTGAAAGACTCACTTGGTGGAAACTGTAGGACTGTCATGATAGCTGCTATTAGGTTTGTTACCAATGACTTGCTTTCATAATACACATGTTTATTCTCAATGATTCAATCTGAGCTTACATAATCAGTGTAGTTACACAATCAATAACGAGTTAAACATTTTTTCCCCCATATTTTATTGTATTTTATTTTCTTTCTAGTATTATTTTTTATTCTCACTGGTTTACCAGTGTGCAGTGCTTTAAAATGTTCAGTGTAAAGTTGTATATAAATGCCATGTTCCTGTATCATACAGTATGTTGATAATTCCTACATTTATAAATGGCCTGGCCTGGAGAAAATTGTTATATTTTTATAAAATGCATTTCACACCAAGTGATATGTACACTATACCGTGGTTAAAAATATGTTTCTCGCAATTTCAACTTCCCGCAAGCACCCTAAACGAATTAAATATTCATAACTTTGCTAATTCTCAACCAATTTCCATCAGATAAACACTGCTTTAAAGAGGTATTCATGTAGAATCTAAAAAACACCAAAAACCCAATTTTGCTTTTTCCTACAAGCGGATGGTTTTGCCAGAGCTGGTCACATATATAGCTTAACAGATAACTGCAGTTCAGAGGGATAGACCAAATTTATTCCTCTGGTCAAAGTGCACAAAAAGCATTGTACCCTTTTTTTTAGACCTGCTAGTTATTATGTATTTTATGTATGTTTTATCTGTAGTCCATCCAGTTTGACCTATGATGACACTTATAATACACTGAGGTATGCAGATAGAGCTAAGAACATCAAATCACAGGTAAACATAATCTTTCAATAATTGTCTTTATTTTTTTATATAATTGGAAATGTTAAGTGCCTATATTTTGCATATGAAAAATATTTATATGCTAAACAATCAATTATTTCCCATATATTTTGCAGGTTAAGAGTAATGTTGTCAACGTTAATTTTCACGTCACTCAGTACACAAAGATTATCGCTGATTTACGTTTGGAGGTAAGTTTTTGCCTGTTTCATTCTATTCAACAAATGTCCTTTTTCATGAAAAAAATTACATTGCTTAAATGGAATGTCATGTTCAAAATGTATTAAAAAGCTTTGCTAATTGTGATGTCTAACAAATAACTGTTTTTTATTCATTTCAGCTGATGCCGAATATATGATGTTATTTATATTTACTTTTTAATAGCATAAATAATAAATTTATTTACTGTAGTGTACTTAAAATTGATTTTTTTTGACATTTTTGTTTTGCAGGTAACTGAATTAAAAGCAAGGCTTAGCCAACAGTCTTCAAGCAGTGACAGTGGCAACCATTCAGAGAATGAAGGCAGAGTTTGTAAGATTAAAGCAGATCACCCTAGCCAAGAAGATATTATGAAGTAAGATTCTGGAGATTTTATATTATACTCTGTAGTACTACTTATTATACTGCATTATTTAAGCTAGCTTGAAACAGGTTTTTAAAGAAAATAATCAAAACATTCACCTTGCAGAGAATGCACTGTTTTCATATGCATTCAAATTGTGTTAATATTAAGTTTATGGAAATGGATTTGTATAGCGCCTTACACAAATTAAAAATTGTCTCAAAGCGCTAAGAGTATATGAAAAAGAGAAGAGAACGCTAACCCATGAACTATCCTAAAACTAATTAGAAAAAATTTACCAAAGACACGAATTAAAAACAAACCAGTAACACCGCACCGTTCTCCAGCAATTGTATACAAGTTGTATGCTTACTACAGTCAAAGTAATTAACATTTGTCTATACAGTATTCCTAAATTTAACCCTTATTTATGTAAAATCTGATTGTTAGGCATCCTAAGTTTCTGATATCTTGACTTACTTTACTTGTAGATATCATTCTGTACTTTACAATATCTTCACGCAACGTGCAAGTGTTCGTAAGGAGTTGATGGTGCTGGAATCATCTGATCGTGATCTGTCACTTAAGATATCACGTAAGAATATAACAATAGAGAGACTGAGGCTTATCTATGGAAACCAGAGTCAAGGAGATAAGGTACTTTATACACTTTGGCTGCACTCACTTAGATTGTTGTTTTACAGCATTTTATAGATTTTTATTTATGTTTAAATAATATTTTTAAAATGCGTAAAGCCCTGACCAGACAAAAGCCCTGTCCAGAATTTTATTTGACAAAAACATGTGACATGCCTAAATATGGTGATGATGACATCACATCATGACCATATATGGAACACCGTGACTATATATGGGCATACAACAGTTTTTTGTCAAAGTAAATTTGATAATCTGGACAGAGCTTTAATTGTTATTGGTATTTTTTGTATGGTAGACAATGTCCAAGTTCCAGAGAACAGTTGCTGCATCAGAGGCCAGACATGCTAGAGTGAGAAAGAGGAAAATAGATGTTGACAACAGGATGGAGAAAAATGAAGAATGGTTGCAGAATACACTCACTGAGATGTCATCATTAGGAAACGGAAAAATACCTGAGGTGTGAAATGCTTCCATCATCTATTTTTTAAATTTCTATTTTTGTTCCTAGTGTTACCTTGTATTTCACTGTTATTTGATAATTACGCTACTACTTCTTGCTGTGTTAAACATTGTACTGTACATGTGCTTTATTGTAAACCGACTGTCTTGAATGAACAGTAGTGTAGACTATTGCCGCTGATATATGTTCAATAAATTGATTAATTAATTAATTTTTCTTTCTCAGGTCTTACAGTTGACATTACGAACAAGACACCTGGAAATTGAGGTCAAAGATCTTCAGCGTCAGGTGACACACCTGAAAAAGTTTGCTCGGCAACAGGATAACTACATGCAATCATCGGAACGGTAAGCTTCACTAGAAAGCTATGTTATCAAATGTATAATGTGGAACCACGCTTTGAAATTAGAACTGTGTAATTTTAATAAAAAATATTTTTATATCTTACAAAAGTAATTTAATATACATTCTTTACACACATGGTAGTTTTACATTTATATTTGCTGATTTTAACTTGCATTTTCTTATGTTTATTTATCAGATTGATGTCAACACTTTTAAGCACAGTGCGTAAACAATTTTACTTACTAAAAGGCTCAAATATTGCCACATCAGACACCATTACAGAGTTTGAAAACATCCAGAAAATGGTAGAGGGTGATAGAGAGGTGATTTGGGCAGATCAGAACACAACTGAGCAAGATTCATCTGCCAATGTTAATAATCTGCTGGAATTGCCTGTCTTAAGTTGCGTTAGAACAACACCAGATGGTAATATGAATCGTATTATTTTTAGGATAATTTGTGATTCCTGTGTTAAATTATCTAATAAAAAAACTAAAAAAAGGAGATAATAAAGTTGCATTCACACCTGAATGAAACTATGATGAAGAATATAAACAATTAAGCCACGTCAATTCAGTGAAATAAGAACGATTATAATGATTGATATACTGTAATGGAATAGGCTTCATTGCTCATGGACCAATTTAAAGAGAAGGGAATACTGTACACGACTTGCGTTCCTTGAAACAGAACAGGTGTGAACGTACCTAATTATATTTTATGTATCAGCAAGCAAGCATATGTACATTATAATATCATTGATGTATACTTTACTTTTTCAGCTCCAACATCAGCAACTGAATCAAATGCTAAACTGGCATCAGGTAAACTATCTTTTCTTCACTTATTTCGAAGTTATAGGAACTTAGTTTATAAATGTCATTTGATGTTTAAGATATCATTGATCCAAAAACCATTTTCACAAATACAATCCAAAGGTAATCATATCAATTTTATTTATATTTAGTTAAAAACAGTTCCACAACACCACACAGACCAAAGGCTGCCAGGAGTTTGTCTTGCACAATAACCAACAGTCACACAACTCCACAACATCCTCCACAAAGGGTTATCACAGATGGGATGACCACACATTTACAAACCACCTCAAGTCAGTCAGCTCTTCCAAGCAGCCATAGCAAACAGCCTAGCTCGTCAGCTTTGAGGGAATCACAGGTGGATGTTTGTACCCCTCACAAACGCCTAGCGGATGTCATAGGGTCACCAATGAGAGTGTGCACCCCTCACAAAAAAACTGCCTTTATGGGGGCACCGATGAGGGTTTGCACCCCTCACAATGGATCAAGAGAACATCATCAGTCGTCTACAATGAACATGGACAACAATGTAGCGACAGACCATCAATCAAACATGTTCTCAGGTACATATACTATTAAAACTCTGGATGAGCAGCAGCAAGAGAACTCTAGAGGGCACCATCCTGCAAGTGCAAAGTCTCCTGGTAATATGAATTCAAGCTTTACAATGGAAGGAATTTCCCTGTTGAATGTATCTCCTGTTTCCACCAATCAGGTGGCTTTGTTGGATACTCCAAATGTTGGAGGAGATACCAATAGTAATGAATTAAACAACCAAACAATAACTTTGAATGATTTGAAAGAAAGTGAGAATATCACAAAAACACCAAATGCATTAAACAGTGGGAGAAAGAGAGATGGTACAGGTAAGTTAAGAAGTAATTTTTTAAATTTGTTTTAAGATATATTAAAATACATTTATTTAAAAGGTATTATACAAATTATGATTAAAAACCCTATTTTGGTGATACTTGTAATTATTTTTATATTATTATTTTATTATTCATACCTATGCTATAGAGAGTGTAACTATCACTACAGGATGTTGCTGTAGATTTCTTAGATAATTCTGTCGTTGTTTGTGGTGGTATTGTTATTTATGATTAATATCATCATTTCATTCTTATGTCCTTTTTATTAGGTCAAATATTGTCGTACGCTGAGGTTGCATCAACACCGAAACAGACATCAGCTCATGGTTCAAGACTGCCTCTTACAGACATCGCTGTCAACTCACCACAGCAACCAGTCAACAATCCTACCAAAACAAAACCATTCCAACAGAAGACCAGGTAAATTACAAATATCAAAATTTACAGTACTTGTCTTATGTGTAGCATGTTTACCATATTTCTTTAGTTATTGTAAGTACAGGCCTCCCTCCAATTAAGGACCACTTGTGCGACCAGGGTTTTCATGGTCTTTAGCAGACTTGGTCGTTAATTAGAAAAATGAGTATTTTAAAAATAAAACATAGATGCTGATTTGAGGCATGTTTGAGGTCGCACAAAGGAGTCTTTAATTGGAGGTGTCTTTAATTGGAGGATGACCTGTACTTTGTTTCTTGCATCAACATGAATATGTGCTTAGTGCTTTGTGTATCTTGAAGTAAATGTGTGAATGTAGTCATTCTATTGCAGATTACAGAAACTAATACTGTAATAATGTGTGACTTATTTTGTTTACATTTATAGGAACAGGGCATTTATGACTGGTAAAGGGAGTGTAAGACACAATAGCACTGCTGCTGCGGTTCGATCACTTGGCTTGCCGTCCATGTCAGATCGCATACAAGGTTGGAAATGCTTTCGCTGATTCTTATATATATTGCACTTCAGTGTTGATATGTAGAGAAAGGAAAAAGAACATATCATGGCTACAGTCATGTTTAAAAATATAGTAATAAACTAAATAAATTTAATGATATTATATATATTATCACATATAATATGTGGGATCACATGCTTCATAAGTTTCTATAAAATTTACATTTTAATAATGATTGTTGTTGTCGTCATTGTATATATACTGTAAATTGTATGTAAAAATCTTATTTTCAGCTAAAAAACGGCCAGCACCTGCGTACATGACGATGACCACTGCGGCCAAAAACAAAAGAATAAATACCCAGCATATAAGGTTAGTAGATTCACTTGGTTAAAAAAAAATAATTAAAAATTAGTTTATGGTACTGTGTATTAAAATGAATAAAGTAATGTTTATATTAATCTCTTTATTTAAATACTTCTTAATGGAACTTTCTGCTAAGCCCCACGCCGCCCCTTGAATATTGTTGCTAAGGTCCCACATAACGACAATGTTAAGACATACGCAAATACGTGCGTTTGTAGGAAAACATGTTTTTTTTTTAGACGCACACATATTTCTGGCTCTGTTCTGATTGGTCGGTTGTTAAGTTTGATTGACATTCTGGAATAGTCCATTTTATAGAATTGTGCAGTACTGTTTTTTTTTTTGTTTTTTTTTTTTGTTTTTTTTTTTTTTTGGATACCTGTATTTTGTTTGTGTGTCTACAGATCCTCAACGGTTGATGCAAAGCAGAGTAGGGTGCCATTTTCTGCTCTTCCATCAAGAGTTAGAAACAGCAGAGCAGTACCGTCAAGAAATGTGTAAGTTAATATCACAATCTTGAACCACAGTACATTATTGTATTGTGTTTTTTTTTTATGTTCAGTCACCCCAAACCAGGCCAAGGGCCATTTAAAGTAAGGGGTTAGGATAGTTTAAAAGAAACTGGTAGACACAAGATTTAAAATATGCAAGATGAAAGGAAACTGGAAAACAATCAGCTAACAAATATTCCAAAGAGAAGCCGAACGATGAAAAATGAATTTGAAAAAGTGGATATTCTGCATTTAGTAAGTTCAAGAGTGAATGGGTGACAGATCAAAGCAAGTCTGGTGCTTCTGAAAAACCTGCGAAGAGATGGCATAATTTTAAAAAGCTCCTCAGAGCAATGGAGATTTTGTGGGGAATCATTATTCATTATTATTATTAATTTATTGGTACTAATTAGTACAAAACAAACATGACATTTGGAAGCCAAGATTAGTTAGGGTTTTAAAATTTTTTTGTCATTTTAATTTTGTTCCTTTTGTTTCACAGTTCTTTGGTTCGAACTAAATCTATGAATAGTCTTCGTAGCGCCTGGCAGTCCTAGTACACAGCCTCCTCCATCAGTCAGCCCTGATGCTGTAGAATACAGTGGTTCATGTTTCTTATATGTATATTATGAAATATATATTATAAATTAGTACTATATTTTTTTGTTAATTGGAAATTGTGGTAGAATTTACATATGGCATTCAAATAACTGTGGTGAAAGACAAGACATTGTAAGGTTGTTAAAACAGTAAAAATAGTTTGCCACAGTTGTATAGAATTGATTGAACATAACTAGGAATAAATCCTTCAGTGTAAATATTTTTGTAAATTTCATTGTTTATAAGGCAAAACTAACTGTAAAAATTATGAATTTAGATTAAATTTCTTTACATTTTATATTGACACCATGTTGCTGCATTAGTACATGGGGACACTATTCTGTGTCTGTGTAACAGCTTTTGCAGTCTAGTTATGACTCTGTTTTGTTTTCTTTTAATATTGGTATATTTTGGAGTACAATCCTTTAATGAGTGATTACTTCATGTGTTGTTAGATTATGTTGTAAATTTATTTGTTATATTGAACCATGGTATTTAATTAATGTATAATCAAAATCAATATCATTCATCACAATTGTAGCGTTTTTAAATATCTAATAATTTCTATAAATAACACTATGAATATCATTTATCACTATTGCAGTCTATTTAAATTTTGACTGCAACTAGATAAAAGGAATACAAATATGACTGCCAATTCGTACTGTAGTTGATGTACACTCATTGAAGGGCGGTCTATGCCATGAAGGTTAGCGCGATCGCAATGCAGCTACAGTGTATAGTACCTGTAAAGTGCTAATTTTGTTGACCTCTGCTCTGTAAGCAAGCTTGTTGAGTTCTATTTTCTTCTGATGTGCTGGTATCTGCCTATGATTTACAGGCTACTTATCAATTGAAATAAAATATCCAATTATACAAAAAAAAATGGGATTGTATTATGTTCATGATCTTGTACACTTTGAGTCCGCTGGATCTATAATTTACAAACTGGAACAAACTGCTCTCTATGGAGAAACTATACATGGTTATACAAGAATTAATACTACACATCCTACAAGGTACCTGTTCTGTTGGGGAAAGCCAACTTCCTAAGGACTCCACAAGAGGATATTAAGAGGGTAGAAATAGAGTCGAATAATGATAGGAAAGGTACCTTCTTACCTAGCAACACAAATTATCTGTTTTGCAGGTACTAGTAAAAATAACTGGCTCAGGAATAGGAAAATTATGAATTGATTAAAATAGCTATTATTAATTTATTACTACTGTAACAATTTTCTTTGTACTGAAAATAATAGCAACAAAACACCTATTTCTGAACGGAAAAGAGTTTATTTGCAACAAAACAAAATGTTGGGGAATGGCATCATAAAGCACATAAGAACCACCATTGACAAATTTCAGTTAAATAGTATTTAAGAAAAATGCTAAGTAGATGATAAGCAATTTAATTACAAATCAAAAAATATGTCAAACCTAGAGACATTAACCCCCCCCCCCATAAGACACCAGATTTATGCAACAATATTCTATTCATCCCACCCCACAAAATGAGTCTGGTTTCACCAAATACCAAAAATATAATATTACTGTAGTACCATTATTTAATGATGAAAACAAATCACAATTGTTAAAAATACTAAGTATACTGTAGTATACATATTGTACTGCACCAGAAATTATTTTTGTAATGGACTGTCCAAATCTTATCTTACACATGATTATTTTTACTCTCTGCCATTGAAAACATAGGAAAATGGCCTCTTGTGTCATATGTTGTGATTATAAAAACTGCTTAATAACTATTAATATTATTACAGTATACTGACATAGTAAAATTATTTCCATAAGTATTATCTTCTATATTATGCAGCTGATTTATATTTCTCAACTCGTATACAAGTACCAATAATAATTTTAGTAATTTATTAGTTGTAAGATAATTAAATTAATCAATATGTTAATTGCTTCAAATCAAGGTAGGTTTAATTATCACACATGTATCTTGTCCACATTTATTCTGTACATCACTGATTATTCCACAAACTCCAAGGGTCCAGCCTAATAAATAATGTCACTATATTGCATAACACATACACTATGACCTGTAAATAATTTTAAACCTTTGAAGATTCTTTATAAAAAAATATTAAAAGTCAATATACCTAAAGTATATTTATGTTTTACTACAAATCATTCTTGTCCTCATCAATTCTAAATAGTATTTAAGAATTTTATATATAAAAGAAAACAAATAAAAAGTTTAAAACTAAGAGTGAGTAATAATTATTACCTTAATGTCCAACATACAGTTTTATTAAAAGATCTGCAAGTCCTTAGCTAATTAAATATTTCATAGTTGTGCAAAAGGGAAGCGGCATTTACAATAAAAATTATAGGACACCTTATAGTGTACTTAACACTTGTCATGTGACCATAGCATTTGTCACAATCATGACCATCACACTTGTTAAGTGACCATCATCATCAAAATAAGTTCCATTTCAAATAAGCAATTATTAAAATTCCAATATAAATCTGTGATACAACATTTTTTCACTCACACCATGAACTAACAAAATCAAAGTAGTTTGGTCTAGTTTGTGAAAACAGAAAAGCATGATGAAACACGCACTGTTGTCTACTGACTTTACATGAATACATATAAGAATACAAGAGGCTTTGACAACTATTACAAGCAATAAAAAATGAATTCATTTCAATAACTACTATGTTAGCATTAGTTCATGATGTGAGTGACAATTTACTATAAATCCTAAATAAATACAAAATTGAAGACATTCCTCAAGAACTTGCATCATTTTCATTGGAAAACTGTACTGGCGACTCGAGTAACATTTGCAGTTGCTGTCTAGCGCCCTCTAGGAATAAATCAATGCTTGCCAGAGACCGCTGACGGACAGCACTGTCAGCCTGTTAGGAAATAATGTACATATTTGTAATTAAGGTAACAGTTTTGTTTAAGCAATTACTTTATGTGGTTACCTAATGTTGACGTTTAGGTCAACCTAATTATGTTAACACTCAGTGACCTAGCATTATAGGTGATTTATAATGTGGATTAGAGGCATTTGGTTAAACTTATATTTACTACTTTAAGTTACCTAGTATGGGAAATTGACATAGGGTCAGTAATATTAATAGGTCAAGTTAATAGCATAAATATACAGGGTCTCTATGCGCCCACCATCGTCCCCATGCACCCTTTATCTAAAGCCGGGCATTTACTGCGCCCAATGGTAGATGCGATTCTATGCAGAACGCCACAAAACGTTTGCAACAGATAATTTTTAATGACTATCAGTCCACCACCAATCAGCAGACGGCGTAGTGTCGCTAGCACTAACAGGGAGCGCAATTGGATTCGTCGGCTGATGGTTGCACGACGTAGTGAGTGCCCGGCTTTTAATAAATACAGCAAAAGTAGGCAGTGGCAGCGCTACGGGGGGAGGGGGACAAGGGAGAATTTCTCCCCAGAAAATTTTCTTTCCCCACCCCCTCCCCCACCAAAAAAAAAAAGAAGAAAAACCACAAATTGCCAGGGACAAAAAAATGTTATGTATTATCTACATTTTCAGTAGACTATCTATATTTAAAATTGATTAAATAAGCCTCTCAAACCTCTAAACTGTAATATTCTTTTGGACCACTCCCTGAACCACTTTCGAAACCTTTCGAAACACCCGACCACACCCACTTTGCTCTCATCGTGACCTTCCCCCTCCCAAAACAAAAAATGTACCTTGCCCCTCCCAGATTTCAGACGCTGGCGCCACCAATGAAAGTAGGAGTTGTAACGTGGAAAGACCCACCTTCTTTTGTTCCTTAAGATGTTCCAGCATGATGGCTTTGGTTTTCTCTGCTGCAAATTTGTTAGCTTCGTCTTGTGATTTCCTCTCTTCAGCTAACGCGTCCTTAATTGCAGCCTGAAAACATTAAAAAAGGGTTATATCAATTTTAATTCCACAACATAGCTACTACCTATTTCATCGCCGCTCTTGTTGTGTTTCAGCTGGAGGGCTGAAATTCAAGCATCAATAGTGCACAGTCAGACATTTAAGCTGCTAGTGCTGAGTGAAATAAATGGCCCATGTGCATGTTATAGAACTCCGTACACTTTCGGAAAAGAGAAGGGGATTGTCTCCTGGCATACTGCCCAATTCACCACCAGAATGATACACTAGAAAAACGCACACCAAAGAAATCCACTCCAAATCCAATTAAATTAGCAAATATTATAACAGTGGTTATCACATACTGTACCTTGCATTTGTCCGTCTCCTGTTGCAGTGCACTGTTCAGTGCTTCCTTGCTTTTCATTCTCTCTTTCTCGCTCATTTCTATAATTGCTTTCCTTTCATTCTCAAGTACTGCAGCGGATTCTTCTTTTTCTTCTGCAATTAATTTCTCCATATATTCCTTGTGAGTTTGTGTCATCATCTAAAAATTATAGATTACAGTACGGTATTCATTATTTGAATAGTTTACTTTTACTTATATGGGTACAGACCATTTTATCAGGATTATTTTGAAACAGCGCCACCAACATCTCTTACAACTCACTGGGGGACTTCCAGCGGCCTAGCCTGAGCATCTGGCTAGTTACAAATAGAGCACCATGGAGCGGATTGCGCCACTAGACCTTTGCTATAGCAGCAGTAGACAACACATACAATCATACTAATTATTGTATATGTGGCAAAGACAAGCCAAACCAGTCACTTGTCGCAAATCCTGTTTTGCAGATAATGGCCAAAACATGCTGGAATGTCAAAATTTTGGAAATCTATTTTATTGCACTAAACTAACCTTTATATATCTATACATCATGCTATGCTGTTATTTTCCTCATTTCCAATGTTAAAACAACAATTTTTAACGATTTGGTGATGGTTTCTGCCTAAGAAATGCCTTAAATCGTAAACTTTAAAGGCTGATTTCTCAAATATTGTTCTTTAAACAGCTCTATGTTTAAGCTTGTGTAACTTCATAACAAAGTGTCAGATTTAAATGATTCTTTCACCATTTCATAGCTCTCATTTTACTGTTAAACCCTGTATTAATAACTAACAATTGATTTTTCCGACGAGTGACTGGTTTGGCTTTGTCTTTGCCACATATGTAAACATTGAAATAGCTTTTCAAGACTTTAACTTATACAGTATAAACATTTAATTTTTTTTCGTTTTAAAATATTCATGGTCATTAGTAATTTAGTTTTATAGTTTAATTATTACATGATGGTAACATATAGAGTGAAAATGCTAGGCCTCCGGAAGTCCCCTTGGGTGGTTGCCAGGTTATCGGAAATTTTCATTTCAAAATTTGGCGAAAATGGTGTATAGAACCCGTCAATTGAAGATCACTATCTGAGTATTCTGCACTTGCACAGATATACTCTATGCTGTGGTAGTGGAATTTTTCTGTAAAATGGAATTTCATTTGACAGGCAATTGATCCTACGTTTTGACAGATGACCAGTGGCTGATAGCATCTTGTCCGATATGTTTAGAGTACTTTTGACCCTTTTAAACTTAGATGTAGAATTGATTACTGCAGTACTGTATACTCATGCTCCTATTCTTGTTCATTGTACTTTTGTTGATTGTTGTAAAGGATATTGAATTGTGAAATTCACAGTAAAAGAATGGTGTTAATATTGTTATTTGAATACATAATGCTTACTTCTATTGCCTTTTTGTTTGCTTCTTCTGTTTTTAATTTTTGGATACTCAGTACATTTTCAATTTCTTCCTCATGTTTTTTCGTAAGTTCAGCTATAGTGGTACGAGTTAGTTCTTCATTTCGTTTTCTTTCTTCTTCTAATAAACTCACTAATCTCTCATGCTGAAAAACAAAGGGATTACAAAAACTCTCACAGCGAAAGAAGCAAATCAAATGTAACCATGCCATCATTTAATATCAATTTACAAAAATAGAATTTAAGCATTATACAATAAAAGATGTATTTTAGAAAAAAAATATTTGTGCTGTAAAATTCAAAGATTTTATTACAGAGATTACAAATATTGTATTTAATCAAATTTCACCAATTTCGCCATCACAAGCAAAAAATCATTAAAATACCAATCAAAATTATGTTATATAAATTCATTAACATATAATATGTGGCTAAGACAGGCCAAACCAGTCACTCATCACAACAATCAATTTTTACTTATTATTATAGTAAAATGAGAACTATAAAATGGTAAAAGAATCATTTAAATCCGATATTTTGTTATATTTACGAGTTTAAACATACAGCTGTTTAAAGAACAACATTTGAGAAATCCGCCTTCAAAGTCTATGATTTTGGGAATTCTTAGGCAGAAACCATCCCCAAATCATTAAAAATTGTTGTTTTAACATTGAAAATGGGGAAAATAACAGCATAGCATGATGCATAGATATATAAAGTTTATTTTCGTGCAATAAAATAGATTTCCAAAATTTTGACATTCCAGCATGTTTTGGCCATTATCTCCGAAACAGGATTTGTGACCAGTGACTGGTTTGGCTTGTCTTTGTCACATATTATTTATAATGGTTGTACCATTGAATTTGCAGGTGTTATTAATTCTTACCTGAGATGTCATTAATGTTTCACATCTTTCTGATTCTTTTGTGAGTGCTTCTTTTAATCTCTGTTCATTAGCTTCCTGTTGCTCTAAGATTGCACATTTGCACAAACCCTTCAATTTGAAACCCCAAAAAATATGAGGAGAAAAATAAAATGCAACATCAATTAATATTACAAAGATTTACTTAATGCATAATTAGGAAGTTAATATTAATTGGAAATATCTTTAAATGATCAGATTAGGTTCTATTCTACATTTCCTTATTTTACTTTGTAATTTGGAAATTTATATCCTCTGTATTGAGTGTTAGTGGCAACCTAGTTAGTGGTGGTACAGGTTAAAAAAGCTAGATAACCTGTTACCTTATACTCCTCCAACATAATAGCTAGTGTATCGTGTCCAGCTTTTCTAAGATCTGCAATATCACCGCTGTGCTTTAATTCTAAATCATTATACTTCTTTTTCTGTTCTTCCAATTCAGTTATTTCCTTCGCAAGTTCCTCTTGTAGTTGCTCGTTTCTGGTGGCCATTTCTTGCAATTCCTGTAATAAATAAACTTCCTTAGTGTTACTGTATATCTACCTTATTTTGAATCTGAGAACATGAGGTTGGTATTGTACTGCATCAAAAATAAAGTGATATTTATTCAAATATTAAATTTGCATATTATGATCATGGTCTTCAGTAACAGATCTAGGATTTCGAAATAGAGGCGGCCCAGGGAGGGATGTTGACAGATGGAGGGTCTATACCACCTCAGCCCCAATATGGTTTGATTTATGGCACCTCTAGATGACCGGAAATGGCTGCCCACCCCTCTCCCCCCACCTCCTCCTGAATCCTACGGTCTTAATGAGAGTTTCCAAGATCGTACAATTTCATTTAGATTTGTATTGTAATACATGTAGTGATAGTGGTGTAGGATTAAATAAAGTGTATTGTGAATTGTAGGAGGGCGCTATTCATGTTTCTACCACTGTTGCATTTTGTGCTCCCAGATTGTTGCTGCCATTCCAATAACAAAACTATATTAACAAAAATGTAAGTAGGCCTACCTGTTGTAAACGTTTTTTTTCTCTATCTACAATGGACAACTGCTCTTGAAGATTGTCAACTCTTCCAGACAACTGAGCTGCTTCCACTGATGAGCTTCCTTGATGATTACCAAGGAAACTGTTGTTAGATTGGCTGACTGGTGGGTTTCTCAAAACAGGATTACTATTTCGAGAACTACTATCAACACCAGCAGATCCAATATTCTTCCTTGAGCCCTATAAGTTCAAATGAAATATTGCAGTATACATTCCTAAATATCTTAGAACAGCTGGAAATGGCCAAAAATTGCCCAGTTTTTTTTGTTTTTGTTTTTTTTTATGTACCCCAGACCCAGCTGTTGGAAACTGCCAAACCCTACTGTCAGAAAGCTTAACCCTGCACACCCCCACCCCACCATGTACATTTTGGTGTTACCACTGCCTACTAGGTATCTATTTATATTGAAGAGCGCAAAATATAAATAACGTGCCGATACCAAGGTCTAGTATTACTATTTCAAGAACTACTATCACATATTTCCTAAATAATCCTTTTTCTTACAATAACCTTTTTCTAAGCATGTTGTATCCTTTGGCAAAAGGCGCTATATAAATTTCTATATTATTATTATTATTATTATTATTATTATTATTATTATTATTAATACTGTGCCACAAATATTCCATTACGTCCTTTTTGAATATCTTACTATTATATCCAAATTATCATCCAAAACAAGGTCAACATCGATATCATTAAGTGATGACTTCTTTCTGTCAGCCTCCGTTTGTCCAACAGCCTGAAGAACAGATGCCTCTGCTTGCATAGTTATCTCAGGAGGCCCTCCAACTGCCCCTTGACATGGTATAGACCCTCCTCTATTTGCAGTGACTTCAGGAGCAGAATTATTCAGGAACAAATTATCCATATTTGGTAGAGGAGGCTGAGCTGGAGCAATAAGTAAATCTGGTTGAGCTGCACCTCCTGCACCTCCTAAATGAAAATGACATTTATCTGTTAATAACATAGAATTTGAGAAACAAATGCACTTTGCCAGACATCATTAGAAAAGATAACAATTCATCTTCAGTCAATAAATTTTCTGTACTGAAGTTTTACTGCCGTTATAGGATAAACAACTTTCAAATAAAATATTAAATATCAATAATAATATAATAGTATATTAAACTATTAGCTTTCAGTGGTAAAAAATAGATAATTTTCCTGCCAATATGTACTGTATAACTAATAGGCCTACAGCCCTTATACTCTTTTGCATTAAATATTTCATCATTCATATTGACCATTAAATTGGCTAAAAATCAACTCAAGGATTTATATAATAAAATGTCAGATCTTTTTACGTAAGTACTTGATGTTCTATTTTTCTTTCTTCAGATTTTATGAAGATTTTTAATCTTTTAAACAACCTGCAAATAATTCTTTCATATTTATTTATTTATAAATATGAGACACAGCTTGGGGACAAACCTGCAGAGAATACGGCCCATGGGGATGGGCTTGCTTCATTTGGAACATCCTGTTGTGCTAATTCTGCCGGCATTGGCTCTGCTCCTTCAAACCCACCAAAGTCATCCCAGTCATCGTCTTCAACAGGGTGCCCATTCTGATTTCTCTGTATAAAATAAAACTAATTTTATTATTCTCTTCTTAGCATGTTTCCCTGTAGAATATGTGTTTGAGTAAGTTACTTGGTGCTCTTGGATAGATTTATTTTTTTTCCTTTTTTATTTTCTATTGTGTAAAAAATATATACATATAGGCCTAGCTAGGCCTATCTGGGCCTTATCCCTTAGTTAGGCATCATCGGAGAACCTGGTTCCAGATTAGAATTGTTTGTATAAACGTTTTATGTAATATAGGCCTATTCTAACTTTCTGTAGGACTTCCTTGAATGAATTGAACACTACGGCTACCTTCTATACTATGCCCGCTCATATCCAAGCATAGCCATAGGTCTAGATGAACTTTCTTACATTCATAATTAATTAGATAGGGTTCTATTCGGATGTAAAAGGCTAGGACTAGCCATTCCATATGGGGTTAAGCAATGGACATGGACAGATGGGATAGGCCTACTAGCTACTCTGAGACCACTATGCCTAGCACAGGTCAAGGCCTATGATGTTATGTATGACGCAGGCTTGCTTGGTAGGCCTAGGCATAGCTAGCCTAATGTAGGACTAGGCCTAGGCTGGGATTCCCAAGGCTAAAGGAAAGCCTAAACTGTATCATATACTACTAGGCCTAGCCTAGGCTAGCCGTAGTAGCATGCCTTTAATAAACCCTATCACGTTGATAAATATATTGCTTACATCATTAGAAGAAAAGTTCGCCCATCCATCTGCCATAGTGCGTGAACTAGAGACTAAATTATATGTGCTTTTGCAGCTATTTTACCGCACACTCTTCTTGATTGATGATTTGTTTCGTTCACGATCGGGGCATGCGCAAATGTATTTGTCAACATCGACTCTCGCGGTATTACAGCGGATAACATTATTTCGGGAGGGACCAGGTGACCCTTAATAATCGGGGGTTCCCCTGAATCGTTGTCTCTGGGGGTTCCCCTTGGAGGTGGCTGGCTGCCAGCAGCAGTGTTAACAGAAAAAGTTTTTTTGTGCTGTAGACCCGAAAATAACTTCTGAGGGTTTTTTGGGCGATCATTTTTTTCTTTTTCTTTCTTTCTTTCTTTTTTTTTTTTTTTGAGCTTCCACAAAGGGGGCGATCCCCCCACCCCTCAAATCCGTCCCTGTAAATATATATTTAATGATGGATTAAGTTAAATTTGATTTGTAGCATTTGAATATTAGGCATACAGTACTTGGATAAAACTGCAGGTCTACAAATGACACTGTGACTTAAGAGTGGATCTTTAAAACCTCAGTTTTATTACTTTATGGTAAAACCAGTGGCGGACTGACCCGGGATTTATCAATCTCAGCTTAGCAAATGTCTTAAATTTAAAAAAAGTTCAGATGTCCATAAGCAATTGAGCTGCTTTAGCAAACCATCTTAGCAAAATCTTAACTCAAAAACCGTCTTAGATGGCGCATGCTTACAATCAACCTTTTAATTTTAAGCACTTTTTAAAATAACAAAAAGATGGCAATCTTCTTAGGCAAATAAAATAAAGTAAACTTAAAAATTAAGAGCTGCCTTAATATCAGTAGGGGTGATGTTAGCGGGATCAAGGGCCAAGTCGTAAGCAAGACTATGGCAAGAATGATGAATGAAGATGCAAGGTACGAGCAGGATAAGGAAGAAAGGAAGATTTGACGAGATGACGCAAAGAAGTAGTGCAGGCAATGAGTGATCTGGGTTCTGGGCAATTTTTAAAAGAAAACGGATGATGAAGAATTTCTGCCTAGATTAAAAGGGAATTAGGCCTATATTGAATTTAGGGAGGGTGGCAATTATTGGAAGAAGCAGATGGACCGAGAATTTTTGCAGAAAGTGTTTCAATACGTTTAAAATATAAACATCACACTTAGGTAAGTAAGAGGCCGAGGACAGGACAAGCATATTTGAGAAAGCAAAACATTCCCAGGGTATTCCCCGGATCCCCTAACGGTAATTTTTTTATTGATCAGATTAGATGATTATTATTGATCAGATTGATTGTTGAATAGCGCCATCTACGAGGCCGATGAGTACCTACATTTTGTATCGGATACCACCCTGTATCCGTGGTACAACTCAGGAGGTACTAACTGACGCATTCATTCTTAGTATCCCTGATGACGAATCATTCCAACACGATAATAAGTTTGATCAACCTTCATCTGAAGCCTTTAATTTAATGTTTTTCCTTGTATTCATCCATAATCCATCACGCGGCATACAACCTCTTAAGTGGCGTGTTACTGGCTGATGTTTCAACTATAAATATTATACCGGACGTGGTACACTTAAATCTGCGCGTATACCATGTCTCCATTTTCTGTGGTATAATGCTCGCCTTGATTGCGAGAGGTTGTATGTTCGAATCCCACCAGAGACACTTTTTTATATAAATTTAAGAGGGGACCTTTTGTTAAAGGGCTATGCTTAATACGATCGTTATGTTCATATTCGAGCAGTTATTATATTATTTATCAATTTTTTTATAGTCCTATATATAGGCCTGTGTTATTGCTTTTGCTGTTGGTTGAACAGTATACACTATTACCGTTAAATAATAGTACGGAAATAATTTTTCCTTGACCCCGTTTCAACTTTGTAAAAGAAAAGTACACCGCTGTACATTTGTAATTAGTTTCAGTTGTGGTTAGCTGTTGGCGTAGGTCTAATAAGTTGAAGGCGTAGGCTTAAGTTGAACTTCATGTATGATTAGACACAATATATTGACAAAAAAACGACTCCATGTTTATTTGCGGTGAGGGTATTTTATTTAACTTTGCACAAACAGGTAATTATTTACATTATATTACAATTTTCGCTTAAAATACAATTTCAATGAGCCATCTCGTAGTTTTAATCGCGCATACTTTTTATCGATCAGATTATTTATTTATAACCTCGCCTTCGACATACATACGTGGGAATAAAACTACTACAATAGATACCTTTTTGAAAATTAATAACAATGATACAAAATGTTCCACTGAGGTAATATGACGAATGGTCTATAAAGCCTATCACGACATAAGGAGAGACGTTAACGCGCGCGTAAACTTTGCGCATTGTGTAACGCTTTGCGCATTGTGTTACACTTGGTTAATTAAAAAATTACAAGTTTTGTTCACACAGATGTGAATCTTAAGTTGCTCACTCACTAATAAATGTCATTATTAATTTCATGCCCGTTCTGTTTAAGTCTCTGTGCCATTTATAAATACAACATACACATTTCAAAAACGGAATCACAATTTGAAAGTAACAGTTTGTGCGATTGTTTATGATGGAATACATACGATCATACCGTTTCCTTAAAATGCAACTTTATTATACATACAATATTAATAGGCCTATTAATGATGGGTTATACATACATATACATATATAGGCACATGATACTACTGTATGCCTATTTCAAGTACTGTACTGAATATTCAGTGGTTTTAAAGTTCAGGAACGAACCAGCATCAAATCCGTTACAGGGGTATTGTCTCTATTGTAGACAAAATCAGTATCTCTCTGACAGCAGACAGAGTCGTATTGTAGGCCTACAGCCAAAACAGAATAATACTTTACTGCTCTGTATATTATAAATATACAGTGTGTGTGTATAAATTGTAAATTGCACACATAATAAACGCAGAGAAATGACTGCTTTAGTAAAAATATTTGAATACATTTATTCCCGCACATTGGGATGAAAATAGTTTTCCAGCAAACTACAAAATAAGGAGCTTCCGATTGGCGCGATGACGTAAAGCCAGGTTTCCATAAAATCACTACACTGTCGCTACAGTGTTTTCAGTGCAATCCTTACTGCGTAGCCGTCCCCGAAGCAATCGGGAAGGCTCTCCGATACGACCGACCAATCAGCATCACCAAAAGCTGTCGGCGATACCGTGTAGCGATTGTATGGAAACCAAGATTAAGCTCGGTTTCCAACTTTGTCGATTGCGTTGCAGACGAATCGGTGTGCCTTCCGATTACGTCAGGGCAGCTATAGCAATGCACCCTGAATAGTCTACAACGCAGTCGGCGAAGTTGAACCAGGTTCAACCTTCCCGACTAGTGTCGGCGACTATCGCCGATAGGGTGAGCGGTTCTATGGAAACCAAGCTTCAACCGGCCCTAAGAAGAATTCACTCATCCGTCGTGACTGCTGCGTTCTCTACACAGCGTAGATTCTAGCCGGCCGCAACAGATTGCGTCAATTCAGACAACAACACAACGTTCTCGCATGCACAGATGATGCAGATATAACGTCATTACGTTGTAGGTCCTTCCTGGTCGTCCAATCAAAAGCTCCCTGATAAACTACAATGACGCGTAATTGCACTATGTACAAAATAAATGAAATCCTGAGCAACAATTTACATAATATTATGACGGCAGTAATAACAGAACGTAAAAAAAAAAAAAAAAAAAATTAAATCATTCACAAATAATATACTATTAAACAAACATAATAAATACTGTCCTGATTTTATCATGAACTTTTATAGGACATTTTTGATAGGTAGTTAATTACTTGGTTAATTAGTCGTAAAATAAAAGGTCAGCTTCCAGATGTTCTGTTGGCAAAGTTCCAATTCTTTTTAGAAGAATTCATTGTTTGATATATTTCTTTAAATGTTAACTTGTTCGTGCAATAATTTCATCGACAGTTTCCGACGAACGAACGTCGTATCTTCTCTGAACAGTTGTTGCTTGTCTCCATTCACCTTGGTTTATGTTTTTTTTTTCTCTCATCCACCGAACTACCGGAATTGCCATAAAAAGGCTAATAATTGCACCGTACTGCCGGAGCTGTTTAAACTCAAATTGTACTTCCGATTTGTGTCAATTCAATATCGAGTAAAGGTCGCGATTCATTATTCTGTGAAATCAATTCAGATTTTCTTTATTTTGAAAAGAACATCCTTGAATCTTTAGCCTCAATGTTTCATACAGAAATTATTGATAGTGTATGGTTATGATATTGCGTGTATAAAAAATATGGTGTTCGTTTGCTCTAACCACCAAAGTGCGAAGAAGGGTGAGGTCATTGCAACAGTCAATTTTCTGTCATAATTATAACCTTCAAATTCATCGAACTTGTCCCCTATCTTGTTACCAAAGTTTACTATGCATGAACTAAAATTAATTATACTAATCAATCAATCAATCAATCATCAATCTATCATATGAAACACTGTTTGAGGAATATTCGCATGTTTTTCGGTAATGTTTGCGCTGTGTTTAACTTCAGTTTTGATGTCCCTTCTTGTATTTACAACAAATGTATCATCTGGATCCTTTGTCCTTCGTTCGTTCATCTCTAATTTCTCACCAAGTCCTTTTTTACAGTGATCATTCCGAACGATAACAGAGTATTGCCGTCTTGGAACAGGAGGGGAGGGCGCACTTTGTCTCGGCAACATTGTCCTCCTAAGTCGTTCCCTGAAGTCCGCAAAAAGAATTTTGCCATTAAAAACACGACGCTGAAAACCTTCTAAATTCATTAGACATAATGCTCTTCCATTCATCCTGAAATAGCTGTAGTCAATATTTAAAGAATATGAGTTGGCCATGTAGTGCAACCAGGCTGCCACGTCCTGAGGCGTCCATTTTCGTGGATCTGAAATAGAAAACAAAATTACATGACTATCTAGTGGATGGTACGAAGCCGGATTTGACAACAGATTTTACAGTAGCAATGTATATTATTAAATCCAAGGCTGCTCGTGAAAACCTATTTATTGCAATTTACATCCGTGTTATCACGGGCGTTTCGGATTAAAAGGTTCATGGACTAATAAAAATGCGTGTTACATATACGGAGACCTCATATAAAGTAAAAATCTTCTCTGTCTCTTTTTTAGGAACCCGAATGATGAGATTACATTTGTCTATGGACTGGATCTCGGTAGAGATACAAATTTGATGATAAGCAACAGCTAAAATGTAAACGTAAGTCACCAGAAATAGAATCATATAAACTTGTAGAATTAATGGATTAACTTATTAATAAGCAAGTATGTAGGCCTATGTATACTTTGTGTAGTAATAATCGCGGAAAATATTTCAGACCGGATGTGCGTGCGTAACTCGGCAACGCAAACCGGATATGCGTGCCAGACAGGATGCGCGTGTACGCGCCTGCATTCAAAAGGGCTTTGGTTGTTTCAGCTTTTCATCATCAAATAAACTACTGTACTAGTAAAAGGTTCCCATGAACTTTTAGTACTACAAGGCACAATGAAAACAAACGGCTGCGCGGTTTCTTTTGATATGTTTATTCAGACGCAATTTGACATTTATTAAGGCAGTCGTCCTGTTGGGATGTTTCATAAATCAATATCGTTTCACGTTATCTAAATATTGATAATAATTTTTGTCCAAATATCTGGTAATCAATAAAGACCCGGATGTTGATATTAGGTTTTCATTTCAAGTGCGTTTCAGTATATCCGATGGCTGAATATTCACTCAATTTAACAAATATTTAACCTGGATAAAGGCTTAATATTTCACATTAATAGAAACGAAGTAATAAAAACATCCAATAAAATTTGTAAAGATACTTTTTGACCGGATCTTAATTAAATCAAGACAGTCGACAAAATAAAATGAACACTTTGTTTCAGTGATTTTTACGACTGAGTCGTGAAATTAATTTTACTGTGGACGTCAATTAATGGTTATTAAATTAAAGAATGCTGCTACGGTTTTAGTTCTTTGAATTTTGCAAATGAATGTAAAAGTTATTTATTTCTTTTCATTCTATTGATTTTTTTTTTGATTTTTTTTTTAAGCATTCTTATTAATTTAGAAATATATATCGCATTGTAGTTATATAGCGCCGTTATCAAACACCACGAGTTTTTTGCATGGATACGATGAGAAATGCAGACTGACTCGTATGGAACGCCAAATGGGAAACTTTCAAGCAGTCATGTCAACACCATAATATTAATTTCGAAACTCATATAGGGCGTTTACAGAAGTACAGATCGCATAGAAATAATGTCTACCACGGAAGTGGCATGGAAGGTAGGCCGCCAACATTATACTGTATAAATCCAATGAATCTACTTTAGAGGCCTACTAAGTTTTGCCCATGCTCGGTCACACTTACCGTTGGGTAAATGCATGGAGGTTGCATTAGAAACTTCTCTGCTATTGTAAACGTGACTATTTATGAGGTCACGGGGTGTGTCAATCTGCGACGTGCACCTTCTGAGAGCAAGCCATTTCTGTACCTAAAATAACAAAAAAAAAAGAAATATAATGATATTGATCGCCACAGGTATTGTATTAGGCCTAATAAGTATATTTATCGCAGTACCGGTACCGTCTTTTACGTGGTTACGCAATATTCATTCTATTCTATTCATCTATTCTATTCATACTATTAATATGATCATACAGATTGCGGACCTATACGGTCCAGTATCATCTAAGGACATTTGAAAATTAATCTACAATCATTTTTAGGCCTATTCATATTCACGTTGGCCAGAAGAAGCAGTTGTTACAACCCCAACAATTCACTTTCCACACACCGCGCTTTGTTTGCTTGCATTGCATAATCTCTTCATCACACATTACGCCAATCGGATCCGGGTTTCAATTTCAACGCTCTTGAAAAGAGATCAGTAGAAAACACATATCCTGCGTTGGACTCCATTTTGAAAGGAAATGTTCACAGCCTGACATTTCTACAACTATGTCATGACCTCATGAAGTCATGCCATGGTGATTAAAACACTAAAGTTACTTAAAACAATTATACCGCGAGAGGTGTGCGTTACTCTCTTTACATAGAAACATTGGAATCGGATGCTGAACCAGTCTTGCGCAGTACTAATAGTACTGTCTGTTTGTGACTAGCCTCAGCAGCTAAAATTTGACCTATAAAGAGGGTTAAAATTTTAATATTGAAAATATACAATTGTACTTGATCTATGGATCTTTAATAGGAAAAAAAATGTGTTCCCAATGGAATTTGTGTTCGGTCTCCAAGGGCAGCGGACCGGATTTAAGAATTATACCACTCTACGCCTGTTGTTGGTAATACTTGGGGAGTGCGCAGTGAATTGCATCATTAGAGCCTTATCTCGATCGGTACCGTAGTACAGTAATTTAAATAGGACAAGTGAAAGTTTTTAAAGAAAATGAAATACAATAGGAAATGGATAGGGTCTCGTATTCCAAATCGCTCTGATAAAGTTTCGATTCTCCCTAGATTTCATTTCGTCGAGGTAAGTAAAATGAAATAGGCATATGAGATTAACTATTTTGGTGCTAGGTGTCCCATGGTCATGGACAGATTGCGTGAATGGTTACGTGCGTCCGATATAATAATACGGCGTCTGCACAGTTCGTACCTCCAGTTATCCCTCGATTCAATCGTTCCTATTCTTTCTATTGTTCATTATGTTATGCCTACTAAAAAATGAAATTATTTTGACGTTAAAAAGGGGTTCAGTGACTTAACTGTCATGTAGGCGTGTTTCTGCGCATTTTGTATCTTGATCTCCGGATAATGCTTGGAATATTAATGGAGAAGATAAAATAATCAAACTTCAGCTCAATGCTTCAATTACTCGATTCGATCAAAACGGAACACTCTCAAATTAAATATAATCGTTATCTAATCTTAACGCTTATGGATTATTCATAGTTCTGTAACAGAAGGTTAAAATTCATATACTTTTGAGGGATATTATTAGTCAACGTTTTTACAAGCTTTCGATCACTTTAGCACTTACTTAATATGGAATTGTATTTTCATATCTAAATTAATCAGCTACTAAAAATAGTGAAAGCTAATTCAATCATAAATTGAATAATACGAAATTGGCCTGTTGCATAATGAGATAGGCCTATTAAGGGTTCAATATCTAAGAGGCCGACCTCGTCGCTTGCGTTCTCGGAATCGCGTCAGCTGACGGTGCAGTGCGTGCCCTTAAGAAACACAGGTCAACCACAAACATACATAGTTAAATAATAACCACTGACACCTACCGCCACGTCCGGTAACGACATATTGGACATTGTTGTTTACATGATATTACATGGTTTATCACGTTCGCCCCTTAGAAACACGCCCACGGATTTCAACGGAATACGGATGTCAAACCATCATTATCACCCCGACCCAAATCTAATTTTCTACTCAAGTTTAATAAACAGATCTGTTAAATATTAATACATATAAACAAATAATAAATCATCTAGATAATGTTGTGGGAATGTTACGGATTATTTCAACTACTATTGATAGGCCTATGCGTGCATATCATCACGATGGAAGAGAAAATTCATTTTCAAAGAACTTCCTGAGAATTCCGGGAATGCGCTAATATTAACAAGATTATAATTTACAGGATAAAAACTACTGATCTTTGAATGCAGTATAATAGTGTATTCTGAGTCTCATTCAACGTTTGTATTATTGCTTTGTAGCTAATTAATTAAGTTATTAGCTTTTAATAATTAAAAATTAGAGTAAGACAAAATTTCCTCGTCAAGTAACGGACGTATCAATAAATACCATCAGTTCTTATCATATTGATGATATTAATCAATTTAAAGTCGTAGTAAAACGTATTTAAATAGGTCTATAAGTAAAAAGTTAATTGTTAGATATGTGTTTCTGATCATTTTAAACGGGGACATTAATGTTCGATAATGTATTTTTAAAGGGTTTCCCCTCAGTTTCATGACAGACTCTTAATTACCTATAAATCCTAATTACATTTCATAGGCTTACTGTTTGTTTCAGAAATGTTTCATTAATTGTGACATTGTCACGTAATACAGATTCAGTGACTCGTTCGCTACAAGTTGAGATGGCGCGCATGGTAAGCAAAGCAAACGCATTTTACGCCTAAGTTCATTAATAGAAAATGCTTTCAATTAATAGTGAAACAAAACTTTAAAAAAAAAAAGACTTACCACTTTTCGTCTTCTTGTGTCCTCAATTAATCTAACTCCTTTATCTGCATCGTCCCGACTTTTTATTGTGGATTTAGCTGGACTATGAACACTAGCGAATGCTGCAGTTCCATTCCCGTACAATATTGGTGCTTTCATGTTCTGTGTCCTCGGTTGATCAGGCTCAAGAATTATCCTTCCTAATTTCTTATGTTCAAACAATTTAAGAGTTTTATGAAGAGCGTCTTTTGATACGTGTTCGACTGGAAGCGTGTCCGGAACTGGGAAGTCGATACTTGTATTCATCTTTAAAACCATCAATTCACACGGGTCTCTTCCCCTTGATTGTTTACAATAAACCCACCGCCACAAATCCGGGTTCACTACACAACGACTAGTCTAAGACTATCAAAACGACACCTGGATTTAAGACTACGGTTGCTATGATATAAACGATCATTTTTAGTAATCCACAACAGCTTACTCGTATCCGGTTTTAGGTCACAGTTGTGTCACTGTATGAATGACCTTAATTTGCATAGGAAGTTCCGGGTTCGTTGGACGGACAAAGTGTAAAGGAGCGCAAGGCGACGTTAAGCAACATAAATGTAGCGAATTATGCGCCACTGCAAACAATAATTGTATTTCCTTTATTAAAAACAGAAATAATAATGATGAAATTCCAACCAAGTGAAGATCCGTCCGTTGCTCCTAATATTTTTTCCTGTGGAATGAAAGGAAAATGCCAATTATAAAGCTATGATGTGGCATAGGTTCTCGCAATAGCCTACCATTAACAAACACACATGGGGCGCGTCTGGGTATCAAGGAACTACGCTTTAATAAACGAACAATAATTTTAGACTTCCAGCAATTGATGGGCTTCCGTGAGTGTGTATACTTTAGCTTATCTCAATGTAAGAGTCACTATGATATTAATAAATATTAATAATAAAAAAGAACGCCATTTTGGTGTGTCATACAAAAGTACGCAAAAAGTACGTCCGTTCGCACGTACGTTGTTGATACATATACTGTATTTTCTCTCCTATTCATAAAATATAGTTGACAAAGATACACAGAAGTCCTCCTGCAGATATATTTTTATTTATATATATATATTATGTATGTATATATAGGGCCTACATATATACATATGTATATATACATATATACATGTGTGTATATATATATATATATATGTTTGAGCATTGTATTATTACGGTATCTATTTGATTCATACATTATGTCCCTATATTTGAGCACTCTATCATACCTACCAATCTGTCTATTTTTATATATGTGTATTATATAAAATACACACACACACACATATATATATATA